GCTGTGGGCGCAGAGATGGCTCCAGCTCCTTACAGTTTGGCCCAGAGAGGAAAGGGGACTGTCCTGTGCCTGGAGAGACAGGGGCCGATCTCCTGCCCAACCGGCCCCAGCCCCAGCATCGTCCACAAAGTGTGCCCCCGCTTCCCCCGCACCCCCTGGCCCTTTCTGAGGGTCCAGACATCCGTTTGTTAGATGCTGGTGGCCACCCAGAGTGTGCCCAGAGATTGCCTCGAAGGCCACCCGAGGGGTCTGTCTCCGTTTCTGGTTCGGATCAGGGTCAGGGAATCTGAGTCCCCAGGAGGCTGGGGACAGAGCTGAAGCCCGGGTTCAGATGGCGGCCATGGAAGGCGGAGAGCAGTCAGCGAGGCAGGGCCGGGGCTGCGGGAACTTGCGGGAGGGAAGCGCCCGTGAGCCGCGGAGACGCTCTGCAGGGGCAGCCGCGTGGTGGGCGACCTGGGGCGTTGAGCTCCAAGCTTCCTGGCAAAGAAGACTGTGGATTCCTGGCCCTGTGACCTTGGGCAAGTTCCTTACTGAACACCCTCAGGACCTACCAGTAAAAATACAATAACAACAATCGCCCTGAAAATACTAAAAGAGGAAATAGACGATCCTGGCACACAGTAAATGCCCAGTAAATGTTAGCCCTTATTTAATACGAGTAACAGTAGCTGTCATTTATCCGGAATATACTATGGGCCAGGTAGTGGATTGTAGTTCTGAGTTCAAAGACCGTGTTTTGTTGTTACCGTATCTTCTAACCATTTGAAGACTGGGATAGGGAAGGGCTCGGAGATGAAAGGAAGATTTGTTAGGAAAGGCCTAGGCCTGTAAGACCACAGATATTTTAGTAGTTGCTTTGAAAACTAAAGTAAAGAAGAGTGTTAGAAAATAGGCCGGGCACGGTGGCTCACGCCTATAATCCCAGCACTTTGGGAGGCCGAGGCGGGCAGATCATGAGGTCAGGAGATCGAGACCATCCTGGCCAACACGGTGAAACCCCGTCTCTACTAACAAAAAAAGAAAAAAAAATTAGCCTGGCATGGTGGTGGGCACCTGTAGTCCCAGCTACTCAGGAGGCTAAGGCAGGAGAATGGCGTGAACCCGGGAGGCGGAGCTTACAGTGAGCCGAGATCAGGCCACTGCACTCCAGCCTGGGCAACAGAGCGAGACTCTGTCTCAAAAAATAAAAAATAAAAAAAAAAGGAGAGTGTTAGAAAATAATATTAGAAGTAGACCGAGACCAGATAATAGCAGACCTTGAATGCCAGAGTAAGGAATAGCTTTCAAGGAATAGGGTCATCTTTTGGGAAGAAGAAGACTTGAAACAATAAAAATAAAACTTGTTATTTATCATGGTTCCAGAGAGGAGTTACCCAAAACATGAATAGAAGCTTCAGGGAAGCAGATCTTGACTTGATATCTACATACATATGTGCATACATTTACAACATTCCCCTACCCACCCCCAAAATAGATTTTTCATTAAAAAAAAAAAAAACCGTAAGCCAGTTACTTCTGTAAGAACTGCGGAAGTGAGCAATATAGAATCTTTGCCAGCAGTTTATAAACTTAATCTATTTTATACTTGTCTTGCTCTGGTTATCATTTATTTCCACCTGGAAAGTTGGTCAGGATGGGCCACAGGGAAGGAGAAAATTAAAGTAGTAAAAGTAGTTTGATTACATAACTATTGAACATCATATTATGTATGAGATATCTTAAGTATAATATTTAACAAAAAACCCTTCTTATCCCCCAATCATACTATTAGGAAACAACCCACCTTAAATTTGTCTCCTACAAAATTTCTGGCAGTGACCTACCGGACAGCCATGACTGTGAAGTAAAACTTTGCTCTGCTTTTGTTTTGTTTTATTTTGTTTTTGAGACGGAGCTTCGCTCTTGTTCCCCAGGTTGGAGTGCAATGGCACGATCTCGGCTTACTGCAACCTCCGCCTTCCAGGTTCAAGTGATTCTCCTGCCTCAGCCTCCTGAGTAGCCAGGATTACATGCACCTGCCACCACGCCCAGGTAATTTTGTATTTTTAGTAGAAACGGGATTTCACCATGTTGGCCAGGATGGTCTCGAACTCCTGACCTCAGGTGATCTGCCCACCTCGGCCTCCCAAAGTGCTGGGATTACAAGTGTGAGACCACGTCCGGCCTCCTTTTGTTTTAAACTACATTATTTTATTAATACATCAGGCAACTCTATCCCACAAAAATTTGTAATGCTGGAAGTTATGCTTACTCTTTTAAGTACTTCAGCATATTATATATTCAACTTTATAATGAGATAGTGACAACTTGAAAGGTTTTCACTTCGTATACTATCAGTTCGCTGAGAACTAATAAAAAAGTGTGGCTTTTGTGGGTCATCCCGAAAATCAAGTACACTTTGGGAAACAGGGAGTTAAAAATCTTTCGGAAGTTAACTTGGTATAAGAGTATGAAAAGCCTCTGTTGCTCTAGTTCTGAGGAAATGCTCTCCTTTTTCCTAATAAAGCTTTCCACCGAAGACAAACTCTGTACACAATAAACAAGGTAAGTATGGGAAATAATTGCCGCAATTCATTAACTCTCAAAAAAGTTATTCATTTTGACATGTAAGAGAAACTTTATTTATGAATGTGAAATGTGCTTCGAAGTGCTGATCTGTTAAAATTCCATAAAACAAGCTTCAAAATGCAAGTCATTTGTGCCAGCTACGAGTAAACTGAAGCAGCATTTCCAGAGAGACTAGGGCAAAGGACAGCACAAACTGCAAATCAGCAGAAAAGAAACCAAGCATAGTAGAGTGTTAATAATTCACCATAGTTACTGCTCTTAAAATCGAAGCAACTAAACAACTATCATCTGTTTACTTTCACGTGTGTTTTCATCATCTCTACGCTGTCTGAAGTGTTCAGTGTACATGGATGTGGACAGACAGTCAAAGGCTACAGGAGCTTTTTTTTTTCTATTAGAACAGTCATTTTAATATGTAGATTTGATTTGGTTATTTTGCTTTCTCTATCTCTGCATTTTAAGCTCTTAAAGGAAGAATATTCAATTGGGTTTATTAAATATTAGGAAGCATTCGTATTTTATTTTTCCACCATGTATTTTGTTTGTATGCATGTTTGTTTTCTGAACACACTGTAATGGCTGTTTATGTGAATTCTGAAACAGCAAAACTAGAACTGTGAAGAAGACCAAAAATAACAGAGAGGCATTCTATTGTCCTGTAAAAAAACACTAGACTTAGAATGAGAAACATAGGTCTCAGGCCTGGTTTCTCCTACATCCCTGCAGAACCTTCACTGAGTTACTTAACCTCGCTTT